GCGTTCCTTGTAGGATATTGAAACTCCTATTAAAGATAACCTACTCTTGTATTATAAAAACAATTGCACTGCCACTCGGTCAACAGTGTTGCTTGCATCAGCCAACCCCTTTCATGTAGATTATTATGAGATTTGCTGGCTAGGAAGCAACATTTGTGGCGAGAGCAGTACAACCGTTCTGACTGGCTTAACGTTGACCTTACGCATTTATCAGGCCTTATCAAGGATCTGAAATTCTCGTTGTCCAAATTGTAAATTGTAAATTTGTAATTTGTCTACCCACGGAACACTTAGGAGTTTACGAGAACTCGTTGAAACGTGTCCGTCCGTTCAGATCGAATTGGAATTTGGAAGTGTTGTTGCTAATAGCCAGTTATTTTAGGAGCCGCTAATGGGCTCCTGCTTATAAGAAGGGGTGGGTCTTGGATCCTTTTTTCCTTGAAGGAGATGAAGGTATGCATTGTGCTTTTTTAGTTTGGCCGCTGTTTCTATTGCAAAAAGTAGTATTCGCGGCACAAGAGAGGCTCTCTTCACGGGCTCTTATACACATCCAGTATCTAACATACATTGATCTGAAAGAAGCCTTTGATTGATCTGTTTCTAAGAGGGTTATTACATGAGACGGGGACGAACTCAGACGGGTATAAATCGGTAATTTGTGTAGGCGTATACATGAGACCGGCACGAAATGCTTGGTCGATTACATGACGGGCGGTACAAACTAATAAACAGCATATGTTTGGAGCTAAATAACTAACGTTCCTAACTGGTACACAATTTACGCCAGTAGACAGTGAGTAGACAAACGTAGTGTTGTACTGCTCCCAGAAAATTATAAGCTTTATCTAACGCTCATCTGGTGGCTTGTTAATATTTGCTGCACAGCAACTCAAAATGGTGCAATCCCTCACATTAATCTGAGTACATATTCAATTGAAGCTACTTCCAAGTCTAGTTTACTAATGTTATCCGTAACAGTGTACCTTTTTTTGCCAAGAAAAAGCAAAAATGGTGGAGTCATACGAAGAAACATGCAATTTATCGACCCGGTCTGAGATTCGTTTCCGTTTTATATGAGGACGGTACGGTCTCAGACCGCTACGAAAGTAACTCGTGTCGGGTCAGCGACCGACACGAAGTCAAACCGGTCGACCGGTAACAAACAATGTCTTCAAAAAGAGGAAAGCAAAAAGAAGTTGTGGAAGAGGATTTTGAGGCGTTTGTACGCCACCGGTTGAGTTCAATAAGTGACGACCTAAAAGAAATGAAAGGAACTCAAGTCAAGATTCAGAGAGACATTGAATCTCTTCAGGGTCAAATCAAGAAAAATGAAAGCTCGATTTCAAAACTGAAGGAATCTTTGGATACAAAGCTGGAGGTATTAACAGGACAACTGCATGAAGCTAACACAAGAATCGACCAAATCGAGAACGATATCACCAAGTATGCAAAAGAGATCGATGACACCTACGAGAGATTGTTGTCCCTGGAGAGATATTCTAGGGACTACAATCTGAGATTTTACAACATCCCAGAATCAACAGGCGAAGATTGTATTGCAAAGCTCCGTGATATCATAGAAAATGATCTCCAATTGCAATCAAACATCGAGAACGCCCACAGGATCGGGCCCTTCAAGGATGATGGCACTCCCAGACCAATTTTGGCTAAGTTTTTGTATCGTCCGGAACGGTTTAGAGTTATTAAAAAGAAGCGGGATCTACGTGATGGTGTGCGCGTTTCGGATGATTTGATATGGGAAGACCGTCAAAAGAAGAAACAATTGAGATCTGTTATGAAAGAAGCATTTGAAGCTGGGAAAAGAGCTAGATTTCATCATGGCAAGCTTTATATCGACGGCGAGCTACATCAGGCTTGAGATGTTTGAACAGTATACACTTTTGTTTATGTGTAAGTCCCATCTTAAATGTCTACATAGCTTTATAATTATCATTTATCTTAAATTGTTTACTTTTAAATTTCGTCAAGCTAAAACTTTGTGCAAATGACCCAAGAGTCCTCTGACCCTGATTTAAATTTACAATTGCTAAATGATCATGGGATTTACACAGTTGAAGAAATTAACGAGTTGTCTCGTACTGTCAAACCTCAATACTCTGTTATTCACTTAAATACAAGAAGTTTAAAACAACATTTCGAACAAATGTGCAATCTTCTGGATTCGATTTCATGTAAGTTTGATTTTATCGGTTGCTCCGAGACATGGTTCACCTCTGAAACTGATTATACACGTTTTCAAATCCCAGGTTACACTTTACTCAATGAAAATCGCACCTTTTCGACAGGCGGCGGTGTTGCTTTGTATGTCAGATCAGGCTATTCTTTCTCAATTAGAAATGACCTCAAAATAGACTCAATTGAAAACCTATGGATAGAAACTAATGATATGATTGTGGGTGTCATTTATAAACCCCCAAATTTTTCAAACCCAGAATTTTTAGACAAACTTGAAAGAACTCTACACAATGTTTTTCTCTCT